ATCTGAGTCTTAAAAATCTGGTTCATAGCATTCCTAAGATTGTGAAGTATGAGAAGTCATGTGAGATATGCATGAAAGGCAAACAACCTAGATTTCCATTTGCATCAGAGTTGGTTCTAAGAGCAAATCATGCTTTAGAAGTAGTGCATTCTGATGTATGTGGACCATTTGAAGTACATTCACTTGGAGGAAACAAGTACTTTGTGTCATTTTTAGATGAGTTCAAAAGAATGATATGGGTAACACTCATCAAGTTTAAGCATGAGGTGTTTTTTGAGTTTCAGAAGTTCAAGGTGAAGGTTGAAAAATAAAAGTGGTAAAAAGTTGAAAATTTTCGGAACTATGTTGAGGTGAATACAACTCTATAGAGTTCAGAAGGTTCTATGAGGAGAATAGAATTAAGCACGAGGTTACTGTTCCATAAACTCCTCAACACAATGGTCTTGTTGAAAGAAAAAACAAAACTTTGCTTGATATGACAAAGAACATGCTGAAGAAGAATAATCTTCATCACACCTTATGGGGAGAAGTTTTTTCCACTGCAACATATGTGCTCAATAGGTGTCTGACCAATAAACTGGAGATAAGAAAAGTTTGAAAAATATAAAGATGTTTGGTTATGTTTATTATAAACATGTATCAGATGCTAAGAAAAGGAAGTTAGATGATAGAAGCAAAGTCATGTTACTTTTAGGGTACAATAGTACATGTGCTCATAAGTTCTAATGTTATATCACTAACAAGGTGGAATTTAACAGGGATGTCATTGTGAAGGAAACTGAAGCATGATATTGGAACGAGTCTCAATCCAACTATGGTGCAGTGTTAACACCTGAGTTAACTTCTGAAGTTATTTCAGATTCTGAAGGAGAATCTGCCTCTGAAGGAGATTTTGCCTCTAAAGACGAGTCAGAGTCTGAAGGTGACTATGATTACTAAAGAAGAGTCTGAAGGAGAATCTAACTCTGAAGGTGAATCTGATTATGATCTAGATTCTGATAATCATCCAGTCTCTGATGGTAATCATGCCTCTGAAGGTGGTTCAACCTCTAAAGGTAGGCCAACATTTGATATTGTTCTAGCATCTGAAGAAGATTCTGAAAAAGTTTAGAGACCCTAAAGAATCAGACAAATACCAAGAAGATTTGCAGAGTTTGACATGTTGCAAGATACTAAGATATACTCTGAAGGGGAAGTCATCAAGTGTGTCATGTTGGTAGACTTTGAACCAAATAGTACTAAAGAAGCTCTCAAGAAGAAAATGTGTTGATGGCCATGAAAGAAGAACTTGAGGCTATAGAAAGAAACACGACTTGGGAGTTGACTGAGCTTCTAAAGAGCAAGAAAGACATCAATGTAAGATGGATTTACAAGTTGAAACTAAAGCCACATGGATCAATTGGAAAACACAAAGCAAGGTTAGTAGCTAGAGGATTTCTACAAAAATTTGGTTTAGACTATTTTGAAGTGTTTGCATCTATAGCTAGACATGAAACAATCAGACTGACGATTGCTATATCTGCTAATAGAAATTGGCCTATGATGCATTTAGATGTAAAATATGGATTTTTAAATGATCTTTTACAAGAGGAAGTTTATGTATCACAACCTCCTAGATTTGTGAAAAAGAATCAGGAAAGAATGGTGTACAATTTGCATAAAGCATTGTATGGACTGAAATAAGCTCCTAGAGCCTGTAATCTAAATATTGATTCACTTTTTAAACTTCAAGATTCAAAAAATGTGAGACGGAGTATGGTATTTATGTTCAGCATACATCTGATAGCAATATGATTCTGGTGTGTCTCTATGTTGATGACATATTGCTAACATAAAATTGTTCAAATGAGATAGCTAAGTTCAAGAAGGTGTTGCTGATAAATGAGTTTGAGATGACTGATCTAGGAAATATGACATATTTCTTATGGATGGAGATTTTGTACTCCGATAAGGATATACTTTTGCATCATCTAAAGTATGAACTTGTACTTCTAAATAAATTTGACCTAATGAATTGCAAGTCTGCAATCACACTTGCTGAAACAAATCACAAACTAGATTCTGATGTTGAGGGTGATAATGTAGATGTTAAAATTTTTAAACAGTTGATAGACTCATTAAGATATCTATGTAATACCAGACCTGATATTTGTTATGCAGTTAGAGTGATAAGTATGTTTATGAACAAACCAATGTGGTCACATTACCAAGCTGCTGTCAGAATATTGAGGTATGTTAAGGGGGCTCTGAAGTATGGAGTTTTGTTCCACTTTGATGTTAAATCTGATTCAAAGCTGATATGTTATTCAATCTCTGATTGGTATGGAAATAGTTGACAAAAGAAGTACTTCTAGAAATTTCTTTAAGTATCTTGGAGGTCCTATTTCTTAGTGCTCCAAGAAGCATTTAGTGGTTGCATTGTCGACGTGTGAAGCTGAGTATATTGCAGGTGATTTGACTGCTTATCAAGCTGTGTGGATTATGAACTTGCAGTATGAACTGAAGATCAAGGTAAGTAAGCCTGTGAAAAAATTTGTGAAGTGCACAACTGAACATGGAGTATATGTAAGGAGAAGCAATAGTGAATTGCTTATACTATGTCTCTATTTTGATGATCTGTTGATAACAGGAAGTTGTAAGAAGGAGATCGAAAATTATAAACATGACCTAAGTGAGGAGTTTGAAATGTTAGACTTGGGAAATCTCTCATACTTCTTTGGTATCGAGTTCTACAAGAGTCGTAGAGGTTTGATGATGTACCAAAGGAGATATGTAGGTGAAATACTCAAGAGATTTGAGATGCAAGATTGCAACCCAACTTCGACTTCACCTAAGCCTAGAATACAACTGTCGAATGACACAAATGGAGATGATGTCGATCCAACGCAGTACATAAGACTCATTGGATCACCTCGATACTTTTGTCACACAAGGGAAGATCTAGGATAAAGTGTGTGTATGGTAAGTAGATTTATGTAGAAGCTAAAGGTATCACACCTAGAAGCGACGAAGAGGATACTAAGGTATTTGAAAGGAACTCTCAACTACGATATTTTGTTTCCTGTAGCTGATGAAGGAAAAGAATGCAAGTTAGTGGGATACACCGACTCAAGTTGGTGTAGTGATGCTGAGGATAAAAAATTCACACTTGACTATGTGTTTATGCTAGGTACTACACCAGTTACTTTGAGTTCGAGAAAAGAGGCAGTAGTGGCATTGTCGTCATGCGAAGCAGAATACATAACTGCTTCTCTTTGTGCATGTCAAGTAAAGTGAATGGTGAATTTGGTCGAAGAGATTACAACAAAGAGTCATGGAGAAATTACCATGAAGATCGACAACATGTCAGATATATCCATCTAGCAAAGAATCCAATAGCACATGGACGAAGCAAGCACATCGAAGTGAGGTTCCATTATCTTCGAGAGCAGGTGGCAGAAGGGAAGATGAACTTGGAACATTGCAGAACTGAGAATCAAATTGCAGATATCATAATGAAAGGAGTGCAAGTCAAAGTGTTTAAGAAGGTAAGGTCTATGATGAATATATATAGCTCAGACACAATGAATTAGGTGGTGTGTTTAGAATGTAATTTCTTGTGCCGAAGCAGATGTAACTCGACAGAAATAAGGATGTGTCGAAATTAACCTAGTATAGTGTGTGTCAAGTAGGGTTAGATGTCGAAGTGTCGAAGCAGGTTGCTTGACACAAAATTTCGACTTAGACCAAAATAAAATTTTTGAACTTTTGTGTTTTTGGATTTTACCTTAGGGTGCAAGGTAGCTCAATTATAAATAGAGGGAGAAACCCCTATTTTGAGTAAGCATAATAGAGAATAACATTGTAACACACAAAAGAAAGTGCAGTTGTATAGTTGAATAATATTTTTTTTTAGTTTGAGATCAGAGTTATTCTGCAAAAATCATTCTCCTCTTTCCCTATTTTGTCAAACCCTAATCTTCTTTCTTATTCAATTTTCTTTCTTTTTCTTCCATTAACAATTGCTCCGCTGAATAATTCTTACAATTAAGGTGTGATTGATTCACTCAAGTGAAGAGTGAAGAACAAAAGATTTTGATCGGTTGATTGAATCTTATTTATCAAGATTGATTCAGAATTACTCAAAATTTTGAGTTAATTCCAACATCTAACCCACACCCAAAAAAAGGTTCTTGAACTGGATAAACAATATGCACAAATCAATGCCTACTTTAAAGCTTGATGACAAAGAGAACCATTACCAATTTGATCATGTCTGAGCTTTTTTTCTGTATGGATCATTGAACATGTCTGAAGTTCAAGTCAATTTTCCAAGTCTCTTAGTTTATAATTGGTTGAAGTTCAAGTAAATTTACTTTACTTTGAAAATGAGTTCCAGCATACAGAAAAATATATCATATAAAAAAAATCCAGATTCCAGAACATAACATGCAATATTCTGAATTTTAGTAACTGCATTACTGATGTAGTTTCAGTAAAATTCAATTTACTCAGGAAAGTGATTAAATGTCAATAATTTCTTATACTGTTTTTTGCAGAGACAAAACACTACCTTCAACTGCATTATTCAACATATGAACACCAACCATATCTAGTATAGTGGTCAGCAGCTCAAATTAAGGAACATTAATAATGAACTCTTCTCCTATCTACCAACCAATATATGTCACAAATTAGTAAGACTGACATAAGGTTGTTGTCAGCCTTTTTTTTTTGCAGCAAGCATGTTACTATATAGTTAAGGACTTTGACCCTTCAGTGAGAAAAAATATAAATGAAAGTAACATTATTAATTCAAACTGAGTACATTTTCTGTTTCTGTTGGTTCCATGAATTCACAGTAAATTTTGGTACACCAAATTGCACCATAGTGTAGCATGAGATCTAAATCTTATACCCTAGACAAAATGGAACAATAAATTATTCAAGAAAATGATGAAAACAAACAATTGGATTTGTTAAACTCAAACTACTTAGTAACACAAGCAAAACAACAAAACTTAAAAGATGGAATGGTTTTCACAAGCCTTTGGCCACAATTTTGCATAGATAGCTCTCACAATTGGAAGAACAGCAACAAGAGCAAATTGAAGTTGTTCTGAGCTACTGGTTTTCACAGAAATTTGTCCGATACTTTTGTTGTTCAGTCCAGCACGAACGGCCATCTTATAACTTCGTCTGATAGAAAATTGCGATTGAAGGTTAGCACCTAAAGCCAATTCCCCTCTCCACTTCACCAGAGAAAGGCCTAATGAAGACTGATCCTGGCCTATTGGAAAATCCGCATCTCTATACCGCACTTCTACATTGGTTCCATAAGCAGAATTTCCTTGACACCTCATAACGCCTGTGCTTCCCATTAATAAGAAGCATCTTCCAAGCGCTATCTGATCCTCAACTTTTAATCCGGTTGATACATTTTCACCGAAAAATGTCGCAGACACGCCTGCACAAGTCTCATTCCTTTTGAAATTCTTGAATTTTGTCTCTCCCCTAAGGATATAGGCTAGTTGTTTTCCAATGCTTTGTATGTCAAAGCCACCCATGCTTGAACCATTCTCTCCATGTTTTGCAGCAATTGAGGAATCTAATTGGATACTAAAGTCTTCCTTATCCTTTGAAACCTGAACACCAAAAGATGCTGGAAATTTATTGGCAAGTGCTAGACTGTTTTCAATGGTTAGTCCATCATAACCATAATCATGATCCCAACTATTCATATCCAACATCGGTCGTGTAAGAAACTGGGATGTAGGTTCCAAGGAACGATATCTGAAGGCCGGATTATCACCATCAAAGGATAGTGGCACAGTCATATCAGGCAAGGGAGTCGATACTACATCCGGGCTTTCATTTTCCGGATAACCACTTTCTTCCATGTAGCCTTCGTTGATTAAATCGGTTTTACCTTTGTTCATCTTTATCTCTCTCATCCTTCTCAATTCCTCTTTCCATTGCTTCTTCTGGAGAAGTTTGACGCGGTAATCATACTCTTCGAAGTATGCTCTTTTTTGTTCTCTACTGAGTTTAGCAACCTGAGATTTCGTAAGAGGCCGAAATGGCAAAAGGTTGTCATATTCATCTTCATCTCGATCAGAATCAGACAACTCTGCAAACTCAATTTCAGAATTGCCAGTATCAATACCATCTTGATCAGACGCGAGTTTTGGATGGATACGCTGCTGCATCAACCAAGACAACAGGTATGGAAGCGATGGAGTTCGAAAACGATGACCAAACACCTTTTTGTAATCAAACAATTCTTGAGTTTTGGAAAGGCTAGCTGCTTCTGATAGAATCTTCATTGAGTAACACAAAAGCAACAAAAGAGGCCTCCAAGTTTGACCATTAGGAAGCACTTTGTGTCCATCTCTATTCCTTCTACAAGATGGGTGATTCTCAACAAGAGCAACTGGATTCATCACACTCGGATTCATAATACGCTCATCGCGAATAGCTTGTCCCACAGCTTGTTGAATCGCACGACTTCTCTGAGTCACAAACACATTATAACTCAACGGTGCACATAATGGTCCTTCTGGAGGTGCAGTAGCAGCATGAGTCAATGTGATAACAGTATCCCTCCATATCAATGGACCAAATGCATCACAAATTGATTTCAACAATGGTAAATCATTGAGACTCTTGGTTTGTGTATCGAGACGGTCGACATAGAGAACCATATCAATTCGTTTTCTTTTGGTTAATCTTAGAATCCTTGATAAAACTTTCTTGTTATAACACTGTTCCATTCCAGAAGATTTCAAACCAGGAGTGTCAAAAACCCTTATGCTAACACCATCAACCGTTCCAACAATCTCTTTAACCGCCGTTGTTGCAGAACCATACGCATTAGTTTTGGTTTTCACTTTACCAAAAATTGAATTTATAGTAGCACTCTTGCCTACACCTGATTTTCCAAGAACCAATATATTCAAAGAAAAGTTCAAACTTTCACCTACTGCTTCAAGCTTGAAAGCAGTTTCCTTTGCAGCAGCAAGACTGAAAATTTCACTAGTTTTCTCACTTCCAGCAATAAGAGCCAACCTGCTAAGCACTTGGGCTGCAATTGACTCATGTGCAGTCACACCAAGCCTAAGAACTAGTCTCAAGAACTTGATCCTGATTTGTTGCAACTTCTCCAATTTCATTTTTTCTTCTTCACTCAAACGGTTGTTATCAACATTGTTTTGTTCCACATCAATTGTTAATATTTCTCCTGTCAAAAGGGTAGTCAAGGCTGAAGCGTCATGCACCTTCTTCCCTCCATTGTTGTCTGTGTGATTATCCAATTCACTCACACCCCCATCATCGTCAACACCAGCATCAGCATCGCCAATTTCTGAGTGTAGTTGTTCTTGTGCTAACTTCTCAAACAATTGCCGGATAACTTCAGAGTTTCCGTAGGTAGTTTCTTGGCCTTCTTCTTCTTCATCTGACATCAAACCATCCACTTGAACTTGATGATGATCATCGTCACCATCATGTTCAGTGTCACTGATCCGTTTCCCGGAATCAGACAAGCCGTCTCCATCAACAGAAAATTTAACATCACAAACAAATCATCGTCACAATTCACACAGTACAACTAAAATAGTAATTCAAAGAAATACGAACACTACTTAACTATAAGAATATCATAGTAAGAGTACCACAAAAAAACCATCACATAAAATGCATACAAAAAACACCTAAGAGTTCATTGTAGCGTGTTAGAGGAGAAATAATACAGCATGTTTTTTGAGAGTGAAAATGAAATGCTACCTTGTTTCTGTTTAGTGACAAGTAGAACATGATCATCTTGTGGTTTCTCCATCGTCCTGAAAACGAGACGCTGTTGTTGTATGAACGAAAGGTGTTTGATTATTGGTAATAACGAATATTGGAAAAAGAGACAGCCATTCAAATGAGTGTGTTTCTCAACAGTCAAGACTCAACACGATACGAGACAACGCTTCAGACTCCTATTGGTTATGCTGTGTTTAGAATTTAGTTATTTCTGGAAAATATTTAAATATGGCCTTTTATATAAAAAACTTTCTTATCAAAAAATAAATAAAATATGTCTTTTCTGATTATAAAACTATTTTTAGAAAACTATAGTAGTTTATTTTAAAATTATTTCTAAATTAGTTTATATAAAATTAAAATTTTATTATAATAAAAAAAAATTCTCTCTCCATTTAACCATTAAAGCTGTTTTTTAAAATTATATTACATTCAAGACTAATTGCTATGTATTATCAATGTTAATTATTTTATACGATTAGGGCAATCATGCTATGTATTACTCCATCTATATTACAATGAGTAATTCGGTTTACCATTTTACATTAATTTAAAAAATAGAATACATGAAAGATGAAATGATATTTTTATTAAAGTACCCTTGTTATGAATTGAGAATGATGAAATTAATATTAATTAGAGAGTAGAATTAAAAAAAATTGTATTAGAAATTGAAATTGATCACTTACTTTAGAATATTTTTTATTTTAAATAGATCACTTATTGTGAAACGAAGGGAATATCAATGTTAATTATTCCACACGATCATTGCAATTATTCATAAAAATTACATTAAGATAAAACTCAAACATGAATAAAAATTCAATCATAAAAATAAAATATTGAAGACCAAAATAAATTAAAAAAACAAAAATATAAGTAAAACTCGCGAGTATGACTAATAATGAATCGAACCAATTCGAATATAATTTAAAACTCGATTAGACCATTAAATCGTTGAATTTGCTTCATGAACTAAATGAATTCAATATAAGTAAAAAAAAAACTAAATGGTTAATCAAATGAGCTAAAGTTAAATTAGATATAGTTCGACACTTACATTCATGAATTACCTCAATTATATATACCTTATAAGTTTAATATTTTTAAAGATTTACTCCAAATCTTATTTCTTTATTTTTATTTAAATTTAAATTTTTTATTTTATTTTAATATTTTTAAAATAAATATTAATTAAAAATACCTTATAAGTTCGTGAAGCAAACGAGATGAACATAACGAGTTGAATCAAATTGTTCGTGAACTTAAAACGAATCAAGTTTGAGCTTATAAAAAATTCGTTCAGAACTTGAGTCAAATTTTGAGTTGGACCGATTCTTATCGAATCGAGCTGAGCTAAGTCGAGTTCGACTTGATTCATTTCTAGCTCTACTCACTAGGCTAAGAATAATGGGTAGGTGATTAACCTGAGTTCAATTTTTATCGACAAGTTTTTTGTACATTTATAATTAATAATATAAATAAGTAGTTGATATTTATAAATTAACGGTTTAAAAAATGAGAAGAGGAAACATAGTAATAGGAAATAAAGTTGACACAAAAAAGAAATATCCTCCCCAACCTCCTCATCCCCGCGTAAATTCTCAAAATTGAAATATTGACATAATTTTCCCAAAATCATTAATATATCAAAGTATTTAACATGTAAGTATATCAAGGATCTATACATGGTCTGTTGGAAATATGTTTGATTCCCGCTTAAGATTCCACTAACTCGTGATGAATTTCGAATCAATTCTTGATAAATAAGAATCAATCTTTCTGATTGAATATCCCTCTTTTTCTTCACTCTTCACTCTAGTGAATCAACCAACTTTGGTTGTAATAATATATTGTTGCACAATTGATAATTAAAGGAAGAAAAGAAAACTGAATTGTGAAGAAAAGGAATTAGGGTTTCAACATGAAAGGGAAGAAGAAGAGTTGTGAATTCTACAGAGTTCCTGTCTGTTCTCAAAACTTTACAAACTGCAATGATTCACTTTCAAGTTACAATCATAATAAAGTTACTCCCTATTTATAGGTTGAGTTTGCTTGCACACCAAGAAAACCCTAACTAACTCATTTAAACAAAACAAATAAAGCTAAGTCAATAATTTTGTCGAGACATACTTCGACACTTTAACACACAATATTTCGACGATAATGGACTCAATCAAAATTACTGCTTTGACACAAAAAATTATACATTAAACACACAGTCTAATTCATTGTGTCTAAGTTATCTACATTCATAATGGATCTTAATTTTTTGAACATTTTGACATGCACTTCTTTCGTCGTGATATCTGCAATTTGATTCTCAATTCTGCAGTGTTTCAAGTTTAGCTTCACTTCTGCCACTTGCTCTCGAAGATAATGGAACCTCATTTAGAAGTGTTTGCTTCGTCCTTGCGCTATCAGATTCTTTGCCAAATTGATAGTAGACATGTTATCGATCTTCATGGTAATTGCTCCATAATTCTTCCTTGTAATATCTTCAACCAAATACATCATCCACGTTGCTTGACATGCACATAGAGAAGCAGTTATGTACTCTACTTCACATGACAATAGTGTCATTACTGGTTCCTTTCTTGAACTCCAAACAACTGGTGCACCACCTAACATAAACACATAGCCAGGTTGGGACTTACTATCCTCGGCATCACTACACCAACTTGAGTCGTTGTATCCTACTAACTTTCATTCTTTTCTTTCGTCAGCTGCAAGAAACAAAATGCCATAGTCAAAAGTTCCTTTCAAATGTCTTAATGTCCTCTTTGACATTTCTAGATGTGATAACTTTGGCTTATGCATGAATCTACTCACCATACTACACTGTATGCTAGATCAGGCCTTGTATGACAAAGGTATTGAAGTGATCCAATGAGTCTTATGTACTGCGTTGGATCAATATCATCTTCATCGGTTTCTTTCGACTGCTGCACTCTGGGCTCAACAGGAGTTGAAGTTGGGTTGCAATTTTACATCTCAAATCTCTTGAGTATTTCACCTGTATATATTCTTTGGTGCATCATCAAACCTATACTACTCTTGTGGAATTCAATTCCAATGAAGTATGATAGATTTCTCAATACTTAAGTCATGTTTGAAGTATTCGATTTCCTTCTTGCAACTCTGTTATTGACATGTCATCAACATAGAGACATAGTATAAGAAATTCATTATTGCTTTTTCTTACATATACTCCATGCTCAGTTGTGCACTTCATAAATTTATTCTCCCTTAAAAAGCTATATATCTTCTTATTCCAAGCTCTTGGAACTTGCCTAAGTCCATACAGGGCTTTATGCAGCCTGTATACCTTACTTTCTTCATCTTGCTTCATAAACCTAACTGGTTGTGCAACATAAACTTTTTCACCTAAGGCGTCATTCAAGAATGCACATTTCAATCCATATGATATATGTGTCAGTTGTTCATATTTGCTAGACCAAAAACCAACCTTATTATTTCAATCCTAGCAACAGGTGTAAATACTTCATCGAAGTCGATTCCTTCTTTCTAAAGAAGTCCTATTGTCACACGTCTTTCCTTGTTTCGAGTTACTTCTCCTTTGGGATTCAAATTCACCTTGTATACCCACTTCACATTGATTGCCTTCTGGCCTTGAGGAAATTCGACAAGTGGTCAAGTGATGTTGACTTCGATGGACTTCAGTTCCTCATTCGTTGCTTTCATCCACTTTGAATCCTTTAATGCCTCAACTGCATTGACTAGTTCAACATCTGTATAGAAAGCATAGTGTACCAGCTCACCTTCATCATCGACCACATCATTTGATGTAATCACACATTCTTAAGACCTTGCAGACATGTGTCTTGTTATTTGAGGTCTGTTTGTGCCTGCTTGACCTCTGACTTCTTCTTATCAAACTTCTCTTTCTTCTTCACTTGTCGGTTATTCACATAATATTCTCACTGAATCCTTCTTGATATTTTCAGTCCAATCTCATTCCTTAAGCTTATCTATTATCACGTCTCTACTAATCACTACTTGCTTGTTCATTGAACTAAATAACTTGTATCCTTCAGTCAAATGATATCCTATGAGGATCATTTGACTAGACTTGTCATCAAGCTTTCTTCTCAACTCATATAGCACATGTCCATATGCTATAGATCTAAATACCTTCAGATTACTCAAGCTAGGCTTCACACCAGACCAACATTCTTCTAGCATGATTCCTTTTAGCCTTTTCGTTGGACATCTGTTCAAAATATATGTTGCAGTCGACATATCTTCACCCTATAATTCTTTGGGTAGATGCTGGTATTTCAACATACTTCTCACCATACTTGTGATGGTTCTATTCTTCCTCTCTATAGTTCTATTCTACTGTGGAGTCTAGGTATGGGTGTTCATTGGTTTAGGAAAATCTGAACCAAATCTTAATATTAAAAAATGGTTTTGCACATTTGTTTCTAATGTATCCGATCAATCCAACCCAAACCAATCTGTTATTTCTCAGCTTGGTTCGATTAGTGTTTTATCAACAAAAAAAAAGTGAAAATCCAATCCAAACTAATCCATATGTTTTTTATCAGTTTGGGCACCAGATTCTCTTAAAACTGAACCAAACCGGCCTGCGAACACTTCTAAGTGTAGGGTGGCACCACCTCATGCACAATCATTTCTTTCTCACATAATGTGTCAAATTATTTCGACACATATTCTCTACCACCATCTGTCCTCATAATCTTGAGCTTTCGACCACTTTGTCTTTCAACAATAGATTTAAACTTGGAAAATACCTCGATCAATTCACTTTTCTTTTTGATCAGGTAAGTCCACAGTTTTCGACTGAAATCATCTATGAATGTGACAAAGTATCTGTTACCTCCAATATAATTTACCTGGATAGGTCCACACACATCAGAGTATATGATTTCAAGAATTTCCTTTGATTTGCTTCATGCATCCTTGTTGAATTTGGTCTTATGTTGTTTTGCCTACACACACTTCATTTGGAATGTCGATTTGTGGTAACCCTGAAATCATTTT